CTTGAAGAGATGGCTCGCTGTTTTTTGCTGCTTCCCTGGCGACCGTTTCATTTGATTATACGCTGCAGCGGCTGAAAGGCAGCTCTTAGGGAGCTTTGCCTTTTTCTCAGCAGTGACTCAGTCTGAGAAATCTTTAAACTGCTTTAAGTGGAGCTTTAACCCTAACGTCATCTAAATCAGCAAGCCGTCTGATCCTGTTTGGGCCGCTCTCATCTCATTTCATCAACAGCATGGAGAGAATTTTGTCAGAAGCAAAGAAAAAAGTTTTGTTTAAGGAAATAAAAAAAAATACTAATTCTTTAATTTGAAGTATTACAAGCAATACTTTTTATTATTATAAAGTTTTTTTTAAATGTTAAATAAAATTTAATTGAGATTTGAAAAAGTGTAATCAACAAGTGAGGTTTTAACAGTGCAGTTTGCTTGTTATGTTTATTTTTATTACTAATTTATTTTTAAGAATTAACTTTCCAATTTTATTTTTCTAAATTGTATTTATTTCTAACATATAATTTTTATTTTTTAGCATTTTTTTTTGTTTGTTTGCAGATTTTAGTTCTATATTTTGTCATTTCTTCAAATTACAATTTCCAGATCTTTACAGGCAACACTAGTGGAACCACATTCCCTCCCTCCATAGAACTCACTCCAAGATCATGTTGTGCAGGTTTGCAGAAAAAGTCTTTATTAGAGAATGGAAACATTAACATGATCACTTTACATGTTCAGCAAATAAAAACCAGAAAAGCAGCAATCATAACAGATTTTTTTTTTTAATGAGTGTGGCGTTTCATTCAGATGACTCAGCAGGAAAAAATAACTACAACATAAATAAATAGCTTTTACAATAACAAATGAGTTTATACAAATGAGTTTATACAAATGAGTTTCTAATTTACAGCAGTTTCATCTTCATTTATGACCTTGTCATCAGATTTTTTTTAAATTTGTTCTAGATCCAAAACAATTAGGTGCTTGTTTTAATATAAAACATCATTACTTTAGTTAGATCTATTTAAAGACAGGCAGTAGATGCACTGAGAACCTAAAAGGGTAAACACCGTATTTCCCTTCAAACTAACCATGATGGGGGGAAAAAATCTCTTTTCATTCAAATAAATACTCTCATTGTGCACTTTAACATTTTTTTTAATTGTTAGAAGCTTTTATAAAAAACTAAAACGGCTTCAGTAGTTAGAACGACTTTGGAAAGATTTATTGCAGAAGTGACCTTTCTGAACAGTTTGTCTTCCTCTGTCTCTTGAGGAACAGCTGAGAAGCATGGAGTGCCCTGCAAAAAGTTCTTTTCTACGTTTGTTTGTCTATATTTGATTTATGTTACTTGGTAGATAAAAAGAAAGGGGTGTGTTGGAAAGAAAGAGTTTGATCACGTGTAAACACCCTGTCCTTACTAAAAAAAAATAAAATAAGTCCACTGCATCGTTCTGCTACAACCGTATTAATTCTTCTTGCAAAAAACAAATAAGCAGAGTGCTATAATAGATTTTTTTATGGAGTCAGTTTTGCTAAATTATTGTTACAAAGAAAGAACACTGTTTGCAAATGGAAATTTAAAGGAAAATACAATCCAGAAATTAAAGTTCTAAACCTCCTTATTAAAAAAGGTTTTAATAGTATGTGTTGTTTACCAAGTTTTTTTTTATGCATTTTTTTTTCTAAATGTACATTTATAATTATATATGTATATAAATATCTATTTTTTAATCTTATTTGATCAAATCTCCCCTAAAGTTTTAATAGTAGTCACATTCTCTTCTCTTCTACGTCCTTTCCTCCAGAGCGAGGAGCCAAGATGCATTTCTAATGTTCTGCATGTAGGTTAGAAACAATGTTATTGGTCAATAAGATTGAGCTATAAATCTCAATCTCAAAAAAGTCATTTGTATATGATGACATCTGTAAAAATATTGAACATTGTAAAACATTGAAAAAACACAAAACAAAATATATATATATATAAAAAAACTAAGAAAACAGTAAAATTATTCTTAAAACTCTTTTTCACTGTTTTATTTCTGGATTGCATTATTTTTCCTTCAAATTTCTATTTACAAAACATGAAACAAAATTCACTCCACAGGATTTTCCACCTGAGTTGTGGATTTGTCCAGAGTTAACACGAACCTTGCTACTGGTTCTCTGATAAATGCTCTTCTTATTCAACCTCCCAATACATTTGGACTCCCAGGTCATGGTAGGTTTGCTGATTTGTTTGGCTTTTGTTGGGGTAAGCAGTTTTTGAAGCCCTTCTTAAAGCCTCTACCTGACCTTTCTACTGTGTTCCTTGGTCTTCGCTGATGTTGTATTACTCTTTAAGAACTCTGAGGCCTTCATAGAAAAGTTGGATTTATAAACTCAGGGGTATGGATCTGAAACCTTGGATAATTTTCTATTTCATAGTATTCCTTTTGTGGTTGCAATGAAACAAGTATAGTACTTCTGCAATGCAATTCCCACACTGCAAAAACAATTTACAAATAAGCGAAAATCTCTTAAAATCAGAGTATTTGCCCTTAATTTGAGCAGTTAAAAGGGATGATCTGTGAATGGTATTATTAAGAAAATTAGATATTATGCACTTAAATTCTGCTCCATTCTATCTCTATTCTTCCACTCTGCAGAATATGTTAGTTCAATCTCTAACGTTATTCCCTCTCTGCTTTTCTCATAGTAGCTTCATCTGGTCTGTTCCTGTTTGGCTGTGATGCTATTCTGGAGAGAAATATCAGCTGTTTTCCAGTGTAGCCCTGTTTCTCTGACTGAGACTGGCTGGAAGTGTTCTCTTTATTCTCTGACATGGGAGCTGGCTCGGAGCTCGTCTGGATGTGTGTTTCGTGGATGAGGCCGCCTTTTACAGTTGCCTTTTGTATCTCTGCTTGTTTCTGTTTGTCTGCTTCTGTCTCATTGAACCCCAGTCGGCCTCGGCAGATGGCCGCTTACACCGAGTCTAGTTATGTTGGAGGTTTCCTCCTGTTAAAAGGGAGTTTTTCCTCTCCACTGTCGCTGCAAGCATCCTTAGTGTGAGGGATTGGCTTCGAGTCAATGAGTTAATGCAATCAACTGATTTCCCTTAGATAGAAAACTTCTAACCAATCTGACTCTATGATCTGGTTGAATTGTCTCTGTAAAATGCCTTGAGATGACATCTTTTGTGATTTGGTGCTATATAAATAAACTGAATTGAATTAAAATAAGACAATGTTTTTAATATCATAAACTTAACTGACAATGATTTTATTTTAAATTTATTTTGTATTATATTACTGAACTCTTTCACTTATCTGCTCAATAAAAAAAGTTTAGGTAGTAAAGATTTTATTAACTGGTCAGATGAGTAGTTAATAATGCAGGTTGTCACATATCCAACCCAGCCTGTTGGGACTCATATTTACAACAGAATATGAGCTGCTCCGACTAACGAGGTCGCTTGGAAACAAAGGATTCAACCAACAAGTTTAACAGGAAATTTGCTTCAGGGAAAAACATGCACATAAAAAAGTTTTTCCTTATTACCTTTTTTTTCCACTTTTGTTTCTGATTTGGAGTAGGAAAGAAAAGGTCCCAAAAAAAAGACATGATGGTTAAGACCTTGACAGGTAAGTAATGGATGCACTGAGTCCCTTTAACAGCTTTCTGGTAAGTCAGCAACCAGCAATATGGTAGCAGAGGACTCGACTCAGAGGAAATTTGCTTTATCAAGCAAGCAAAACAAAAAAATCTGCTTTTCTTTCTATTTTTAGCTAAAATTTGGGTGGTCCCCGTGTGGCAAGAGATGACACGGAAACAGGATATAGTGAACATATTGCCTTCGTTGTCTGCCATCTTGCCTTCAGCAGGGTTTTCCTGTTGTCAGGTCCTGTCTTGCATTAATTATAAACCCTGTTTACTTTAACCTGAAACAAAACCTGAAGGTGGATAAAAAAAAACCAAACACCTTGAATGACAAAAAAAGTAATAAAATGTGCTCAGGTCATCAAAGTGGATCTAAATGAAGCACAACTGGTAAAAAACAACAAGGCAAAGAAGTGAAAAACACTAAAACAGTGAGGCTTAGATGCTGGACCCTACAGCCTCATTTACATGTAGAAGTGGACAGAAAAACAGCAGTGGCAATGTAGTGTGTGTACATATATATATATATATATATATATATATATATATATATATATATATATATATATATATATATATATATATAATTAACTGTGCAATTTTTTGACCTAATTCTTGAAGCTAATATTGCTTTTTCTTTCTCAATTTTCATGATAAAATTAAAAAAAAATCTCTGAATTTCAATAAAATCTGCATGACTAATGAATGCACTGATGAAGCACTGATGAAGCACTGATGAAGCACTGATGAAGCAGCCAACATATGAACATATTGAGTGATACCAATACAAGAAAAGAAAAACAATGCAAATGTTCCACTCTATCCCAAATCTGGACATTTTGCAGGCTTGTCTGCAGAGGATTTTAAAGCCAAGCGAATAACCCACCTATATCTAAACTTAGCTTGACCACTAAAGGTTTTTAATATTGTTTGCTTTGGAGGATTTTTATTAATCCACTACTGTTCAGCCCTTTGTTTGTAAGCTCTTTCTAAATAATAATTTCATAATTTTATTTGTATTTTTATACTAACTGAAACTTTTTTTATCATTTGCATCATTGATAATTTTCCTGCAGGCATTTATGTATTGTTAAAGAAATGTTCTATAACTGATGACAGTGACTGAATGCTTGAAATCAATCAAAAGGGGTTTGATTAAACATTTCACGATTTACATATTAAGCAGTGGTGTCTTGAAGGTTTTAACAAAATAAATTTTTTTTTTACAAAAAATATGTTAAACCTGAAAAAATAACCAATAAATATCACTCTATAAAAGCAAGAGTACATTTTTTCTTGTTTAAAATAAATCTACACAGCCTAAAGCGTCAAATATACAAGACATGTTAAAGCATAACCTTTGACTGGTGTGTGTGTTTCTGTGTTTCTCTAAACATCTGTATCAAGCGGGGGAGGGAAGTCGAGACATGGCGACAGAGAGTCCTGACTGTGCGTGGAGCTAATCCCAGTGTCTGAGTCTGTGTCTGTAACGTCTGCAGGGGACAGGCTGGGTTTGGCTTTTACTGTCCTGGTCAGGCTATCCTGAGCTTCATCAAGGACAAGGCTGGGCTTCTTTTCCTCCATGCTGTCCATGATTTGCAGCGAGTTAAACTGGGTGGCCAGCTGCCAGCACTCCTGGTCCTTGGCTATCAGTGAACTGTCCAGAAACATCAACTGCTTGTCTATTTCCGCGACTTGGTTTTGCAGAGTCACTCCACTGATCAGGCTGTGTTTCATTTCATCCTGCAGCCTCTCCAGTTCTGCTTTGTAGAAAGACTCGTCCGTGTCAGGGAGAGCGCGAGCCGCGGCTCCTTTCTGCTCGCCGTCCTCTTCTGGAACCGCAGGGAGGCTAAACTTCCTTAACTCTGCGTCTATTTCCAGGGAAAGATGTATGATGAAATCTTCATGCCACTTAACCTGCGTTTCCAGTTGCTCAATGCTATCACAGGTGTAGAGGTACTTCTGCAGCTGCTCCTCATTGCTGGCTGCCAGGCTGCAGCCCTGATCCACTGAGCTTTCAGAGTCCCCCCTCTGCTGAGGGTGGTTCTGAACCCGCTCAATCTCCGCATCTAGTTCCCTCATCCGCTGGATCTGCTCTCTGATGGTGTGGTCTTGGTTGAGAATAAGCTGCACCATCCGTTCCACCTCTTCAGCACCCGGGGAGCTCCGGTTTTCCTTGTGAAGCTGCTCCAGCTTCCGGAAAGCCTTTCTCACCATACGCTTCTGCTTGTCCACTGGCAGAGGCTGGGCGTACTGAGCTTGATTAAGCTCCCATCTCTTGGGCCGGGCACCTTTGGACTTTCCACCCTTCTTGGCTGCCTGTGGCACAAAATCGCTGGTCTTCATGAGAACAAATTGGATGAAGGGTCTTTCATCGCCCCAAGCATACCAGAGCCTCAGGATTCTGGTGAGAGGCGGTAACGCCCGTTCAATCCCTCTCCAGCGCTCCACAAGACAGAAGTCTTTGGGTTCCCCATCCAGGAGCCTTTTGCTCTCTGGTAGGGACTTGTGGTCCTCCAGTAAGGCCTGGATCATATCTGTGCATGTCGTGTGCTTTGTTACTCCACAGACGACCTTCTCCTCATTGCAGACGGTGACCTGAATCTCTTTCCCGACCACAGGATCAGCTTGTTTTGTCCTGAATGAGAGACAGAAAAACAAAGCTTACAATTGTGGCTTTGGAACGGCAGATTTGAAAGTTTTAGGTCTTTGCAATCATAATCATCTGGTGCAGTTTTTGCTAAATCCTTCTATGGTAGCAAAGTTTGGCTTTTTCATTTGCTTTTTTTTTTTTTACTTTAGACTTTCCATTTATCTTTTGCATGACCCTTCTGGTCCCTGAGCAAACTGAAAATCAATTCAAACAATCATGGTCCGATTGGTTAGACTGCCACACTTAGTTCAATAATCCATGACAGAGCTGGTTACACCTGAGGAGTAGGCTTTTTAAATGTGTGATTAGGAAAGCTATTAATGATCAGATTTATGAGAAGTTGTTTTTAAAAACCCATTTAGAAAAAGGATTCAATGGTACATTTTCAAATTACAGTATCTAATCTAATAATTAATACATACAACTAATATTTACGATTTAATTATTTAATTTAAGAAAAGAAAGATTAGATTTCTAATAGTATGGTTTAAATGTTAAATTTGGAACACTGTTTATCTTTTTCAGTGACTCTCCTGGTCCTCCATATAGGTTTTTATTGATGGAGTCACCAAGTTGAATATATGTTCACTCAAATATAAACAGGTACATATAGGCTAGCGGTTGTACTGGTTGTATAAAATTAATTGTTTAATCTCATTTACTTTTTTCTAATTGGATTTGGTGCCTCTATGGGAGCAGAAAGAGTGTACTAAAGTGACCCCTCAGGAGCCAGAACAGGTACTAAAGTGTCCTGTTGGGAACCATAACTTGTGTTAAAATGTCGCCTTGGGAGCTACAGTAAAAAGCATACTAAAACCTTTCCAGTGTTTCATTGTCATTACACTGTCACAAGTACAGAGCAACAATATCCACTCTCTGCATTTGACCCATCCCCTTGAGGAGCAGTGGGCTGCCATTGTACGGCACCCAGGGAGCAGTGTGGGGCTAAGGGTCTTTTGCTCAGAGATCCAGAGTGGCAGTCTGTGGAAGTGTGGCTTGAACCTTGGCCTCTGGATTCCAAGCTCTATTCCCTAACCACTAGGCAGCTACTCCCAAAACGCATATTACATTTTCCTCTTGGGAGCCAAATTGCATGCCAAAATGCCCCCTTGGTAGCTAAAGTACATGTTAAAGTGCCCTTTACAGTCAGTAGTCCAGCTGTAAAAAAAAAAAAAAAAGAAGGGGGGTAGTGGAATTTATTTTTTGAAAGCATACATATCATAATTAGTCTATTAATCTAAAGCAGTATGTATGGTAGTTTTCTACTGGATTCACTTTGTATTAGTCTTTTTCCTGCCTCACAAAGGTAGGCAGCAGCTTGACAAAGCCATGACGGCAATTATTTTACATCCAAGTAGTATGCAGTTCTTCATATACACACACACATCAATTTGAAAACAGATGGCATCGGTATCGGCCGATACTGCACAGCCATGTATCGGGTATCGGGTATCGGTATACCCGATACCCGATACATGGCATCAACGCCACACTAATGTATGGAATGGTTGTTACATGTCAGGTACGCCTGTCATTGACCTTGACCAAGGCACCATTCAGTAGAACTGCAGTCAGTCCATAGACTGGCATGGCTATCACTGCCCATTTGCAGAGGACAAATGTTCCACTGGGATCAGCTTCATAGACATAGTAGGTCACTTCTTCAATTTGATTTATTTTGCTCAGGCTACTCGTAAGTAGCCTGGGTGCCATTCCGAACTTAGTCCCGCCCACAAAGTTTGAGGTCGGGGAAGTTCGGTCTGGCTCTGCTCCATAGTAGCGCGAGTATTATCGCCCACTGTCAGGCGATCCAATCGATGATGGACAGATGACCAACAGTCACGTAATCAACCACGTGACCAAAGCGCGCTTGGGTGACAACAACAATGGCTGCCGCTGGAGAGTTTAGGTGAGTAGATTCTGCTATTAGGTCTGTTCTAGAAGATATCAACAGCAAATTAATTTTAAAAGAGGAACAGAGAAACACGATCAAGTCTCATCTTCTAATTCTAGGCGTGCAACTGCACGCTTTGATTTTTGTTGACAACAACTATGCGTGGCTTAACATACGTCACGCACTCCGTTGCTCTTATTGGTTGTAGGTCTATCCAATTAAGTGCAGAGGCATTTTTTTTCCTGGTTCGTTCGAAACACGCCCCATAATCACAGCTCTATGGAGCAGCATCAGACTCATTCTGACTAGAATTGAGTCGGACTACGTCAGGCTAACTCGTAAGCCCACTGCCCAACAAATGTTGAAAGGGCTGGGCGATATAGAAAAAAAGCTTATCGATAAAAAAAAAATGCATATTGATCGATATCGATAATTATTGAAACGATTTGAAACCATATTTTATGTGCAGCTCTGACTTTTTATAATATTGCTAAATGATTTAATTTTAATAAAAAACACAAACAGACTTCGAATTAAATCATTATTTAACCAACGTTTTTAACCATAACAGAATTGTTTTAAAGAAAAATAACTTAACAGACCTGAGTTATGTTATTAAATACTGGCAAAGAATAAACTAAAGTGACCAGAAAAGTGACCAAAATAAATATAATAAATAAATAAATGACCCCCCACCGCCGCCCCCGTTTCCTGCTTTAACCTGAGTTATTACTTTGAAGTTTCTGGCCCCTCAGCATTTTTATCTCAATTGTTAGAACTACGTGGGAAACTGCCCAGAACTGAATATATATATTTTCCCGAAATTCCCGAAGATTCCTCGGAGGAGAGCTGCGTCAGGGCCTACACAGCTCGTACTCCTGCAGCTGTGAGCGGCTGAGATGATAAAAAAAAAGAAAAGTTGGTTGTGTTATCAGACTGGTTTTCACTGGTTCCCTACACATTTTACAGATGACTGTGGTTTGTTTGTTGTCCGACTTGCCATGACCGAAATACTGCCAGACTGCCGAACTACAAAAATCCTTCTTTGGAACAATTTCCTCCGCCTCTGCTTGCTGCGACATCTTCATGTGCTCTGTGTTGTGGTTTGAGAGGGCGGCGCTTGGTGATGGCGTGCCTGGGTCCTCGATTGTGATTGGTTGGGAGGAAGCAGTGACTAGCATAAACCTACATGATAGGCTACAATGAGAAGGAAGGAAAACTGCGTTTCTTTTTTATCGAACTTTAATCAACTGTCTTTTTTTCTATTACGCCACACGTCTATCAATCGATATGTATCGCTATTGAATTATCGCCCAGCCCTAGGATGCACTATATATGCCCATTTTGTTCTTTCCACCCCTGTCCTCACAAAAGTCTGTGCATGCCACTGTTCATCTCTAAGCTGGATGTATTATTGCATCCATAGCCTAAGAACAAAGGAACATCAGTACACTGTGTTCGTTAAATAACAACAACACTACAGTAGCTTCTTAAAGCAGTGGTAACAACAAGGTAGCCATGACTGACAGATGCAGATCCGAATTCATTTTCATAACTAGGCAGTTTAATGCTTTTCCGTTACGCCGGTGAGCATAAAAACTAGATTCAGTCATTTTCTGCTCCCTTGCTTGATTCTAATAGGCCGTTACTCATCGTGTTACTCATCAGAGATGATCATTTAATGCTTTGGCTCTGAGCTATTTAATCCTCATTAGGTTTTTGTGTGAATCATAAAACTTTCAAAAATTGACCACTGATGAGCTGATGATGTCTTTTTCTTTCTTCAAAACCTAATGGAGCACCGGTAATATCCTGGACCTAATATCCACTCATTAAAATATATGCACACAGCCACAAGTAATCCGATCAGTAGATAGCATAGCCAAACAGGCAAACCTGATTCTGAGATAAAGAAAGATGTATTATGTTTTCTGTTTGTTTGATTTGATGTTATTTATTTTGTTACGTCTATAACAGACTGCCAAGATTCTCTCTCTGGATTACTTTTAAGCAAAGCACGCCAAAAAAAATAACTCATAATATTTCTTTAATTACATTCCTAACTGAATAAAAAAAAACATAATTTGCATATTTTCACTGAGGTGACTCCTGCTGTAGTCTGTTTGCTTTAAAGAAATGTAAGGTTTCAATTTGGCAATCTGGCAGATAACATTTCAAATGTCATGAACCTTTTAGTACTAATAAATCAAATGAATGTGTTGTCTCACTGTCTCAGTTTCCACTAAATTCACACACTTTGTTTTGAATAGCAAGGCTAGATCAGTTAAGCTGCTGCTCACGAGGTGAATTATCAACCCATGCCTCTGCTTGTTCAGCTTTTATGGTTTTGTTTTGGGACAAAAGCTCATTTACATAAAAAAACATCATTTGAATTGAGATCTTGTTTAGGTTAACCACCATAGAATTGATGCAACCTTTAGTTTGTATACACTGAATACTCTAGAAGGGAATATTACAACATTTCAAGGGTCTTATAAAATATTCATATCTTTTGACCTATTTTCAAATTTTGCTCCTTTGCAAGAGCAAATGCTAATGGTTTTAGATATGACATAACTTAAAAGTGAGGAATACGTTTTTACTTAGGACCTCTTCTTTTGACACACTTTGCAAAAACGTTTGTCGTCAAGTGTGAGCTGTAGCAACGATTGAAAAAATCTCAGTGTATGCCCAGCTTTATATAGCCCAATTCAGTACAAAGACAATTCGGTGTTCTTTATATAAATGAAACAATAAAATAGAAGAGAAGTTAAAGCAGAATAAAAGAATAAGCAGGTAAAAGATAAATACACGGCCCCAGAACGGAGCCTTGAGGAAGCCTGCATATAATTTTTCTGGTAACTGATTTAAAGTTCTCTACTGAAACATACAATTCCCTGTACTTCAGCAAATCAATAAAGGTAAAAAACAGCTGACATTATAAATTCACCTTTTTCAATTTCCACAGTGAAACTTTCTTAATAGAATCAACAGTAACAGTCAACTTAGTGTGCAAATACATGCAAAATGCATAACCCAAATATAACACAATATGACAATAGTTTAAGGCATTATCTATTTAAAACGAATA